GTGGAGAGAGAATACAACCCTGACACACTCCCCCCTCAATTTTGGGAGGACACAGTTCAATTCATGACACTTGTGTAAATGTAAAAAGGAAAATATAAGTGAAAGAAATGAATCAAAGTGTTTCTAAAATTTAATGCAAATTAAGAACACTTGCCTCCTAATATGACCTTTGCTGATAAATGCTAGTTATCTTGTTTTCTACCAGATGCACAAACTTCTGTGTATGTTGAAGAAGGAACAGACCATTTACAATACAGTATTTCACGAACTTATTCGGCAAGTCAGTGTGGACTGTATGGACAGAGGAGAATTACTTTCCAAAATAAGGTTAGAACTATTGATTGGATTATTCCAGTAACTTTGGGATTTTATATTAGAAAATATTTATAATTAGGATATCTACTTTTGAGAAAACTGTAGAAATACACTTCCATGTTCTAATAATAGGAAACCTAATTATATTTCTACTATGTTTTATTGTTGTTGTTGTTGTTAGGTGCTGTTGAGTCACGTTCATAGTGACCTTATGAACAAAAGATCTGAACCCTGTTCTATCCTGTGCCATCCTCACACTTCCTGACACACAAGAGCCCATTGCAGCAGTGTATGAATACTCTTGGTTGAGGGCCTTCCTCTCCTTCACTGATCCTCCACCCTGCCCAGCATCATGTTTTTTCCAAGGAATAGGCCCTCCTAGCAACACGCCCAAAGTATGTGAGGCAAATAGAAAATATAGTTGTGGAGAACTTCCTTTAAGATGTTTTCTGTTGAGATGTTTGAGATTATATTTTTTTATGATTGGTAATAAAATGTTCTATGAAATAGAAAAAGTTCTACAATCATGTGAGTTTGGGATATAATTTTACATTCTCATCTAGACATGTGACCTTGGTGAAGTCTGAGGTTAGTTTTCTCATTTGTAAATGAAGATAATAGCTAATGTGAAAATTTTCACTTGTTCATTTACCAGTGATATTTATTTTTTATCTACTCTATGCCTAGTATTAAATTACTTGGCTTTAATTACTAGGATTAATTATTAGGATTGTGTTACTGGTTGTTAGGTATCATCAATGAGTCAACCACAACTCATAGTGACCTGTGAACAACAGATTTGAACTTTACCTTATCCTGCACCATCCTCGCCATGTCCTAAATGGGAACTTAAGTGAGAGCACAAAAGTAGCAACTCAGTGAATTTCATTTTAATTATTTTTTTTATAATAATGATACATGCAGAGCCTAGTCTGGTAGCTTTGTAAGTAGGGAGTTGTACTGTTAACTCAAAGGCTGTACCTCTCTAGTGGATTCAAATCCACCAGCAATTCCACATGAAAAAAAATGGATAATCTCCTCCTCTTTGATTTATAGCTTTTGAAACATATAATGGAGAATTAGCTATGAGTCAACTACAAGTCATTGGCAATGAATGTGAACATAAATATGATGATAAATATTAGTTACTGTCATTCTTATTATGATTATGGTACATTATAAAAAGATAAATGGGATAATAGATTCAGAATAGGGTTCAAATTCTATATCTGCAGCTCATTTTCCATGAACCATTGGCAGATTTTCTGAATATTAGTTTCTTCTAATTGTGAATTAATATTTACTCTCTCTGCCTATGGTCTGGGGTTCTTTTCCTCATTTTTTAAATTGTAATTTTAGAACTCTGTTGGCCTAGTGGTAAGAAGCTGCACTGCAGTCCTGAACAACAACAACAATTTTAGTGAGAATTTACAGAAAAACTGGGTTTTCATTAATTCATTGATACACATTTTCCTCCTGCCCCTTCCTCCAGTTCACTTTGTAATACATGTCTTGTTCCAGATTGTTAATTGCCATACATATAATGTCTAATCATTTCTTTCAAATACCCCTTCCCTTCACTTCTTCCAATGTAGTGTTCATGATCTGTCCATTCTTTCTGCACCTCCCCCTCCTATGTCTATCCTAGTTTTATTAGAGTTGTTGTATGTAGTGTTTGTCTTTTTTTTTGAGAGTAAATTCATAAGTTTACTTTATTAAATAACTTTTCCAGAAAATATATTCATTAAAATGGTAATGTAGGATTTAGGCTCTTAAGCCTTTGAAGTATTTAAGCAATCTTCAGTGATGTTTATCTGAAAAGTCTTTCATTGGTGGAATTACCTCTCCAGTCTCCAGAATTGTATCACTTGGGAATAATATAGGTTTCATGTCAACAATAGCATATGGTTTGACATTCACATGATATTTGAGATAATAATGAACAATCCATGCAGATATAAGTACATGGGCAAAAGCAAAGGTACTTTGTCTGTATACCTTATACACTGTGTTCCTCCAGGGGGTTGGGTTCTGCAAAAACTTATTCCAGGACTCTTCCAGAGGCCATAACCTCTTGGTGGGCATCACTGGCTCCCGAGGGCTCAGCTCCTGATCCTTCAGCCATCGCCTCCTCAGCTCTCGCACCTGCTGCAGCGGCAGTTTCTCATCTGGCGTGTACCCCGACATGTCCCCACCGGTTCTGAGGCAAAAGGATGGCACGTGCCCAGTATTTGTCCTTTTGTGACTGGGATATCTCACTCAACAGAATATCTTCCAGAGTCATTCATGTTGTATAATATTTTACAAATTCCTTGTTTTTAAACGCTATGTAACATTCCATTACGTGAATGTACCAGTTTTTCTATCCATTGCTTTGTTGATGGGCTACTTACATCTCTTTGCTATTGTGAATAGTGCTGCAGTAAATGTGTGTGCACACATCTGTTTGTGTCACAGCTCTGGTTTCTGTACAGGACAGGTCACCTTCCCTTGGAGACAATACAACTCAAGAGACACTGATCACAGCATAAAAAATTGTCAGCAGTTGGAGTGTTTGGAATCACAGAAGCCAAGAAAGCTTCAGATACAAGCTGTCAGGTCATGGATTGGACAATGGAAGATAATTTCTGAAGGGATTTGGTAGAAGTGAAAGGGTATCCTGGTGGAGGGTGGAGCTGGGAAATAAGTGGGTCAAGGCACTAGGCAAAGGGCAGGGACTACACTGTAATTAATGGTTAACTCCACAATGAGGGATTTCTCTTTCACCACTCCACTAATTGCTTGTCTGTCAGATACTCCTCTAAATCTAAACATTCATATTAAGACAGACTAGGAAGAAGGA